GACTTGAGAGCAGTGAATGGTGCCCCACCTGAAAACCTTGGGAGACAAAGCTCAAGCCATTGAAACAAAAGTGGCAATACAAGAGTCTCATTTCACCAATACAGATTGTTTGACCCTGCTTTCAAAGCACACGTAATAGAGCTCATAGCAAGGCGCTGACATCAAGGGGACAAAGTGCTCAACACAACGAACAATAAATGTATTGAATAGAGCTTGAAAATAAATGCGGACGTTCAAGAAAAAAAAGAAAAAAAAAGCAAGTCATGGGCGTCCAGCCCAGTGAAGTTAACAGAGAAATTACATCTACCTGTGTGACCCTTGTGTCACCACCGTGTTCTTTGCTCTGCATACTTTTGTTCTGAACCTTTTCTTCCTTCGCATGAGCTGTTAGGAAAACACACAGGAGAACTGTGAATCCCGATTACCCTGTTGAGATAAGTGATAATTAATGACACGGGGCAAATTAGTCGTGGAGTCACTTGGGATTGCTGTTCTCAGATGGTGCGAATGCATCTCCTTGACTTGGCAGATTTTGCCTTGTTAAGCCCCTTGTGCTTTAGGAAGGTTGTTCCTTCTCAGTTTATCAGCAAGAGAAAGGTAATTACAGCACTTAGAAGCCATTAGGATAAAGAAGGGAAGAGAAAAACAGCGATTTACCTATTTGGGGATTTCTGAGATGGCTAGAAGATTCACTGATAGTTAATGGTGAGCTGGGCTCCTCTGCTCAGCTGAGAACCAGGCTAAGGACCAGAGATGCCCAGCTGGGGGGATGAAGTGGCTCTGGAAGAGCTGTGAGACAAGTCTGATTCACTCCCTGTGACTGAATTCAGTCCCTTCGTGCATAACTTCAGGCAAATCAAACAGCATTAAATCCCCTGATGAGCCAAGTAGCCAGAACATCCTACAGTATGAAGCAGAGTACTGCTGCCAAGGCTCCTTTTCCAGTCTGTAGAGACAGCAAGACACCTGTGGACTGGGCTCCTGAACAGCTGGCAGGGGAGGCAGAGGGCTGCTGGCCAAAGGAAAATGCCGACAGAAGTATGCTGACAGAAGAAGTTGCCTTCAAGCCACTGCCCTCGGGGGAAATTAGGTGCTCCAACTGCTGCCTCCCATTCGTCCCATGACAATCTCCATGTCTGGATAAAAGATCTAATGCAGACTCTTCACAAGAGCCAGCCCTCACTGTACATTCCCTGAGCTATGTTGTGAGGGGACAAACTCTTGAGGCACGAGACATATCTCCCATCCCTGTGCCAATAATTACGTCAGTATCTTCCGCTGTGCGCTGGATCCTGGGTGTCAGCCCTTTTCTCCACTTGGGCTGGTCGGTGTATCCATGCCAATTGTCATTCTCTTTCCAAGACTGCAGGCAAAGGCTACAGACCACCTCCTCTTGTAACCAGATTCCTCCAGAGAAGGGAGGCCAAACAGAGGAGAACCCAAATGCTTCATGGAAAAGAGCCCATAGCCCAATGGTGGGATGAAGAGAGACAGACACCTGTACTTCTGCTTCCATTTGTCTTGAGGGTGGTGATAGTCAGTTGGTCCAGAGACACGGTGTGGCAAGGTTCCAGAAGGGGACATCACTGAGGAAATGAAGTTGCCAGTGGATTGCCAGGGGCTTTCCAAATCAGTAACAACCAAACAAAGGAACATTAAGGATCTGTACTTTGAACTGAGACATGCTGAGCTAAGCCACTACCAGGCAGCTACTTTCTTTCATGGCTTCAGTCCCGGGTGCCTAAATTTTCTGTTTATGGGATTCAGTTCATTGTCCCAAGCCCCGATGAGGCAGAGAGGTAGCACCTGAAACCCTCTGCAGTGCTCCTAAACCACGCAGGCTGGATAAATAAGCCTGCAGGAAAGCTCAATTTCAAAATATTTTGCAGTGAAAGTAAAACAACTCAGCATAAAAGTACAACTTGTTCTTCGAAGTACATTCTAGTAAGTACAAGTTGTTGTGATCTTTTTCTATCTTTTGCCAGATTGATTATGAATGTATTTTTTTATTTTTTTATTTTATTTTTTTTTTTTACAAATTAATCTTCAGGGTGGGTAGAAAACTCCTTCCATGTTGTGCCCTCCTGCTTCTGTCTGTGACAGCCTTTGATGGTTTCTAAGAGCTGTGAGAATTGTCTCATACTATCTAATGGAGCTCCAAAAAAACCACTTGAAAGAACTCAGAAACCATCATCACAAAGTGACGAAGGGAGTATTTTAAGATCCCATCTCAAGTATCATTCAGAGACAGATATTTCACTCAGCTGCAGGGCTTTTTTTCTTTTTTTCACAGAATAGGTAGTTTTCTTCCCAAAAAAATAGAACGCTAACGCTTTTGATCCCAGTTCTCCTTGGCAGTCTTTCAAGTTTCCATCATTTTGCAACCTAGCAAGGATTAAGAGACTTCCTGATGTCCTGCTCTTCTCTGAAAAGGAACACATGGCTGACGTACTCCTTTTGCCTGTAATATTCAGGCACATAACCAATGGGGATGTCTTGTCTGCTTTCCATTTGTTGTTGGTCTGCTGAAATGCAATGCCAATGCAAGAGGTTTGGACCAAGATAGACTTTAGCATGGCAGTTACCTTCCTCTTCCTGCATCAGTTCCCTGCTCTTGAAACCTTTCTGAAAACGTGAAAACATAGCATGGAGTTCCTTCTAATAGGGAGAGTAAAACAGAGGAAATAAACCATAGATCTACGTGGTAACAGAGCTTTAATTTTGCTGGGTTGGTTAAAACATGGAGCAGATCTCAATTATTGTGATGAATCAGCAGATTCACATCCTTAGCAGGTCTGATTTAGAATTTGCCACTTATCCTGGGCCTCTCTGGACAGAAAAACTGAATGGAAACCCAACGATTAAAAAGAGCCTATGTTTGAAACACTAAATACAGACCAGCCAGTCATAAGACTTCTGTAAATGATCATTTCATACGTAATCACCATAGTAGCCCCAGTCTATTTGTGACACTCATACACCCTGAACCTTGGCGTATTTTATGATTTTATCTGCAGATTTTCCTAGTATCTGAATAATCAGGGTGCTATCTATAAGTGTGGAAAGCCCATGTCCAGCACCACTTCAACTGAAGCCATTTGCTCCTCCTGCTACCCAGGCCATGCATCTTTGTGCCATCATGATAAGAGCACCCACTGCTGTAAACTCAGAAATGTGAGTTCCAGTAAATGCTTCATACAAAGTATCTGAGCCCTAAAGGCTCAATTGGGTTCTTCTTTGGTGCAAGAAAAGACAAACTCCCTCACCGTCCTCACTGAGCCTGTTCATGTGCAATCTGCTTATAATGAATGAGAATATTGATGTCTCTCAGGAAACTACAGACTTGTCTGCCCTTCTCTGCCCTTCAGGATGATTTTTCCCACTTGACTGTCCTTAAATTTGGGACTATAGCTGCAGTTTCAGTGCAATTATTACTTGGCAACTGAATAAAGTACAGACCTAATCTTAAACCTAGACCACCGTGGAAGTTTTCACTGTATACTTTAGTCATACTTGCTCTCTAGAGGAAGCCTCTGAACTTGAAATGAAACAAAAGGGAGTCAGTGTGAAGAGAAATTGCAAGCTAGTGCATTCTATTTTGTACTTTTAGTTGCTGTATTATGGGCAGTAATCCAAGAAAAAAAATATTTAATAAAAGCCAAGCAATGTTATGTTTGTAGTGTCTCACTGCAATGGTTTTCAGATGGATAGATATAAAATAACCCCACATCAAAGACAAGTGACATGCTGGTTTTATCCCTTTCTGACGTGTCTGCCATCAGATATGGTCCAAGACAGGCAGAAATGGAGGAAGTGGTAGAAGGGCGGATAAGTTTACTAGCCAAAACCCACTCACAGTTCACCAGGTTCATTTGCAAATTATTAGCATCTGCACCTTGCCACCCAGTGATATTTGTCAAGATACTCTTCAAGCAACATCCCTGAAAAGTTGCTACTTGGCATAGGTACCCTATTGTAAAGCCTGTCATCAGATTGCTAGGCAGCATCTGGGTTTCCCAACCAAACTAGAGCTGGGAGATGCTGTGGAGGGGATCTGCTGTGGCTACCAGTAAGAATTACTGTCACGCAGAAGCATGCAGAAGGAAATGGCACTTAGAGTCAACCAACATGGGACCAAGGGATGAACTTATTCATTCAGTGGTATATTGTAGGTCAGATTTATAGGGCAGATTCTCTCACTAAAATTCCCCACTTTTAAAGTCAGCTGTGATGCAGTAAACCAGGATTCCAGGCACACACACATTCACTGCATGCACTTTCAAAGATTTTAAATCCAAAAATAACACAGAATTGGGAAAAACCCAAGTGTGATTTTCAAGCACCTGTCCATCCTCAAGGTCAAATGTATGGCAGACCACCTGAAGATGAGAGAATTTCATAAGGAATTAATGTATATTGAATTTCCTTGATTTAGTTTGGCATAATAGCATGTTGCCAGCACAATGCATAGAGTACAGATGAGTGGGAGCTCACGTGTCACCCACAGTTAACCATCTTTGGAAGAGACAGACCTTGACTTTGGACCTGGACAAATGCACTTGTAGAGAAGCAGCATTGATGTAAAGCCTGGTTTAAAGAACAGATTGACCTGAATGAACTGATTCAGCATAGAGTGGTGAATTCCAGCAAAGATCAATGGAAGAACAAAATCTTCGTCCCTCTTGTTTACAAGAAGCAAAAACTCAATTCTGCCTATTCTAGAACATCCACGGTAACACAACTGGGAAACAAGTTACCAGTGAAGTTAAACAAGACACTCAATCACTGACTTCCATCTCTAAAGAAAACAAAACAAAAAAAAAAAACAAAAAACAAAACAAAAAAAAAAAACAACAACAACAACAAGGAGAAGGAATTTCTTGCTTTACATTTCCTAAATTCTGGATTGCTGTTAACAGGCCATCCTAGCTGAACCACAACCAAACAACGACCTTACCACACACAGTACCTCTGGCTGCAGCAGGAAGGAAGAAGTGAGGCTGTGATTTCTCTCCTGTCCCCAGGGAGGTGCCCACTTCTGACATGCTATTGCCAGCCACAGGTTACACCATAATTCATGTTCTCTACCGCAGCCCTTTGAGGAGTGAAGGAAGAAGACATGTCTCAAAGCCTTCTGTATTTCAGGAATGAAAACATGAATGCAGGCTTATTCAGGAGTTCCTTCCAGGACTCTGAAAAAGAAGCAGGAGATTGGAAAGGAGAGAGCATTCCCAGTGGGTGAGGTCCCTTCTGAAAGGTGCAGTGTAATGTATCAGCATTATCCTAGCTTGCATTGAATATTTACTTTTACTAATGAAATTCAAGTCTCATATCTGAGCTCTATAGAATAATAGAATCGTTAAGGTTGGAAAAGACCTCTGAAAATCATCTAGTCCAATCATCCACCTACCACCAATATTGCCCACTAAACCACGTCCCTTGGTGCCACATCTCCACTGTTCCTGAACACCTCCAGGGATGATGATTCCACCATTTCTGTGGGCAGCCTGTGCCAGTGCCCAACCACTCTTTCTAAGGGCTGTTCTTCTCTGGTTGATGCTGAGGACAGCAATTTCATGCCTTGCCTGCTGTCCTCCATCTGGGGTGTCTACGTTGTGAGCTGGGCTGGAGTTACTGGTGGAGGCATCTTCCAGGAACAGCCACTTAGAATATATTTTTCTTTGGGCTAAGGAGATTTTTGGAACGAAGACTGCTTCTTCTTACTGTACTGTGGATAAAGTGAGTCTGAGATCTCAGCAATCTTCTGGCCATGCAACACAGTCCATCCTCTGTGTTATTTAATCTCCCCTATGGAACGGCAAGAGAAAGGGAACGGGAGGATCACGGTGGGTGTGCAGGAAAAACGAAATGACCTATAGCTCTTCTAATATGAGTGTTTATTACATTCCCAATACGATAAAGCTGAGATCAGTCCCTTTCATGCCAGCACTACTAAGCTGTTATTGTTTCCTGCATGTGGAGGTGGAAATGTCGTATTTTAGCCCTGATTTACTTTCTTCTTATTTTGTGGTTTCCATGTACTAAAACTGACTAAAAGGAGTAATGTGTCCTCTGTAATGGTCAGAAACAGCTGCTTTCATGTGATCTCACAGCCCATTAAGCAATGCCAGGCCTAAAGGTGTTATTGGAGGAAGCATTTCTATTGCCAGTATTCCTTGTGTCTCTGGAGTTGAGGCACCGAAGCAGACGGCTACCACTGCTCAGAGAAACAGCAAAAACCTCAGTGCAGCTACTTAGACCGAAACTGGCTGAGTTTCCTGCTAAGATGGATTTGCGCACATTTATGACTTGCATGAGATTTTATCACAGCATGCAAGTCTTGGTTTTCTGCCTCAATGCAGAGATTTCAAACCCAAACACATGTCTCCCTCTGTCTGCTTTCTTTTTCTGGAACAATTCTCTTCCAGTATTTTCCCTACCAAACCAACAACCAACTGGCTTTGGTTTTCATTACAGTAAGAGCTGATTAATCTGGCACTGATTGCTCCTCACTTTATAAGGGCACAAGGCCAGTGCTGACATACACTAATAACGAGAGTCATCAAGACGAGTGCAGAAAACAACTGCAAGAGACATAATGTCAAACCTCAGCACCTAAATTATTCTCCTGTAATACATGGAAGTAATTTGATGAATCTGAGTAACACGAGGTCAGGGAGAGCCAGCAAACAGCATCCCTGACCCTTGAGAAAAAGTAAACAGCTCTGACATTATAATGGCATAAGTAAGCTATTATCATTACATCATTAGTTTTAATAAGGAGATAATTTCTACCTGTCACTGTGACAGATGCCAAAGATAGACTCTGCTTTTTCTACTCTCAGTTACAAACACCTCTAAAACAGCAAGTTCCTGAGGGATGCAGTAGATACTCTACTTACCTATATGATTTGCCTAGCAAATAGTCAACATCTGTACATTTACATGAACAATTACACACGACTCAATACCCAACCAGTCAAATACCAGCTAGCCTGCTATGGGCACACCTTTCCTCGTGGCAGGTTTCCTCTGGGTAAAAAAGTGCCTGGAAAAGAATGAATTGATCCAAATGACTTCATTCTTTGTTAAGTGAGTTTATGCAAAAGAAATATCACATAGATTTTGGATTTTCCCAAAGCTGTATTAATTCTCTGAATTACTGGGTTTAGAAATCAGATAAAACAAGATGAATCTGACAGTCCAATTTATTTAAGACATCAGTGAAGCTTACACTTGGGACTGGCAATCATAGCAACAGGAAAAGTCCCAGACACCCTTCCTTGCAAACTCAGTGCTTACATAGGGAAACTCCAGGGTGATGGGACAATCCTTCTGGACAGAAAACCTCAGAACTAGTAAAATACCAGATTTTCAAAGTAATGTAATTTTAAACATCTGTTGAGACACTGGGTAGAGTGAAATCTTCCACAAGAAATAGATCAGGAGCTTCTTTTTACTCCCCACTTTTAAAACTCTGCAAGAGAAGACACTTTCCTATTATTCTTAACTTTTAAAATACGATGTCTTCTTGAAAAGCTTGAGAATTTATTCTACATTCTCATCTTTCCCTAAATAATTGTTTAAAATATTGTATTTTTTTTGAAGGCAAGAATTTCATATACCTCATTCATTCCCTTTCTTCAGTTTCTTCAGTTCCTGCGCTCTTCCTGTGATGATACTGCAGAGTACACCACGTATCCTTTAGCATCTTCTAGGAACACAAGGAAATAAATTAGTCTTTTGGGTTGTGGGTTATTCTTTTAAGCAAAACCAGAACTGATTGCACTTTGCCCTCTATTTTTGCCGAAGAACCTCAGAAACTTGCTATGAACCAAGGCAAGGAGCTAACAGTAGAAATAAATAGAAGCCTGTTCATTACATTGTAAACATAAATCAAACAGAAACTCAGTGGCTGCCAAAGTGTCATCAGCAATGGGCAAATCTCATGATAGCAAGCAGCATCAGTCAGAAGACGAATAGCACAAGGGCCAGCATGGCTGTGCGTGGTATATCCTTGAGCTGAGGCATGCATATTTTGAAGGAGACCCAGACAGCCTTTACGAGAGGCTCCCGAAGGTCTTGGTGCCGTTTGTGCATCCCTCCATCTCTCCTCAAACTGCCAGCACATAGCTGAAGTCTAACCATTGAAACCACAAGGAATTTCTCTTGGTCCAGCCAGGAGAATTCAGATGTTCCCTTTTTATATATATTTTGGTCTGGAATTTCTCAAGAAGAAAAAAAAAAACATCTCTGCAGTGACAGAATGTCTATGGGAAAAAAGTCACATCTGCCCCTGCCAGGACCAAGGGAGACCCAAGCAGCTGTCAGGGCTGTGTGGGTTTCTGCTTGTTCTCCACTCTGCTATGTGGAGATGCCATTCTTTAGGAGCCAGCAATCAGCGATATAAAACTTAAGATCAGTTGTATTAAAAGGACTTCATAGAACTGTAGAAACATTAAGTTTGGGGAAGACCTTTAAGACTGCCAAGACCAACACAACCCATCCCTCCATGCCTACTGACCACGACCCTCAGTGCCACGTCTCCACGTTCCTTGGACACCTCGAAGAACGGTGACTCCTCCACCTCCCTGGGCAGCCTGTGCCACAGCATCACCACTCTTCTGAGAAGAAAGTTTTAGTAATATCCAATCTGAACCTCATTTCCACTACTAGCTGATTTAGCATTTCTGAAGGGAGAGGAGAAGGTATGTCGAGGGTCCCTCTGGGGAACCAGGATGGACAGTCTATCTGTGCTCTGAGGCACAGCCTCTCCCCAACTTCTGCAATTTCCCTGAAATAACTCCTACTAAGCAGTAATTCATGGTTCCTGACTAAGCTATAGCAAATCTTATGGTAATCTAGGAGATAAATCGTCTTTGGGTTTCCATAAATAGAAGTGATGGAAACAGAGCACTTATGCTGCCATAGACACTGCCAGAAGGGTTTGCAGCTTCTCTGCTCTGTGAAATTATTTTTCTCTGTGCCTAAAAACATATTTACACTGGGAACAACAGGCTGTGTGGAAATGGCATCTTTTTATCCTGACAAATCACTGGAAACTTAAGCCGCAGTCCTTGATAGACTTCTAGACCACACTGAAAAATAGAACTGAGGAAAACATGAAGAAGCTTGAATTGACTTCAGTAATGGTGGAAAGCTCTGGCTTTGCTAGCACTTGCACTTTCAAAAGTAGCTCCAGTCATTCATGTGCATCCTTCCATAGCCCATCACTTTGGTCTCCTCTGCTTCACCCACGGACATCTGGTGTTGGCAGAAGAGATCTGACCCACTTTTCTCTTGGTATTTTGTCTTCGTGAATAAAACTCCAGCACTCCCTGCTAGGTAGGCAAAAGCAAAATAGTTGAAGCTAAGTAGTTGAAGCAAAGTTAGATCTATTAGATACAAATCCCCCTTTAGTTGCATTTTGGAATGTGAGCTGACAGCAAGGAACCTTTGGTGTTGTCTCACCTAGATTCTTTTGCAACAGCCACAGTGCTGCAAATGGTACAAGAGGTAACAAATTGAGTCCTTCCAATCCAAAATCCAAAATGGAGAGCTATAGGAATAAATAGCTATACTCTATTGATTCTAAGCACAGATTCGTGTATGAAATCAGTTTCTTCAGACTGGATGTTCATCAAATCCTCCCTTAAAAAGCCATATTATTCATTGTTTCCAGAAAATTAGACTTTGCACCAGACACCACAGTGCACATCTTTCCTTCTGCAGTTACTCACATGGTCATTACTTTCAGTTTTCATCAACTGATTTGAATAACATCAGATTAATTATATCCATCATTCATCACCCTGACCTTGGACAAAATTCCCACATACAGAGAAAAACTACAGAATCTGGTCTGGAACTGCTCCTTTATGGGGTCATACTGTTTCCCCAAGAGGAAAAGGATTCATCTTCCTCAGTGATGGGAAAAAATATTGGCCAAGTGGCAGGAAACACATGGAGTTTTCTTTTGATGCCTCTCTCAAAACATTCCCACTCTTCCAAGGGCAGGGCTGTTGGTATTTTCCTTCCCGTCCTTCACCAGGACTCTTCCTCCTGACACTGCTAACATTTATTTGTCATGGCTGGGGAAAAGAGGCAAACCAACTCACACGTATATCCATTTCTAAGAAAGGCTTTTAAAACCCTCCAAGATGCTTTCGTCTAAGTGTTCAAATGTATTGTCTGAGCAGCTGCCAGACCACCAGCCATGAGGCTCTATCAAGTGCAACAATTCTTTGTTATTTTATATATTTCTCCAGTTGGAAATAATCAAATATTTCTCGCATTGTGTGGAAAATCAGTCTTGAAAAATGAGTGAGATTTTAAGGCAGAAATAGGACTTTCATCACACAATAATAGGTGTGATCATCTTTAGATCTGTTTCAGGGTTTTTTTTGCCACTGTTCCTAGAATACCACTGAAAGGAGTTGTATTCAAATTCAGAATAGCAGAATCATTAAAGTTGGAAAGGCCAGCAAGATCATCTAGTCCAGCCATCAGCCCATGCCTCTGACTTGAGTAATGATTCTTCTGCAAGTACAGTGACTGAAAAAAGATTTTAAAATAGGAGGTAAATATTTTCACAAATTCACAGCATCTTGGATCACGTTAGCCCTAGGATTTTGATAAAAGTTCACAGAATTCATATTAACATGCCAAATTCCATCTCTGCAAGGAAGCAGGCATGGCAGAGAGCATGAATTTATAAATACCATCCCATTTCCATTGCTTGAAGTTTGCTTCCACTTGTACACATTTTGCAAATACCTTTTACAATTTCCTCCACATATCTCTTATTCTAGCACCTCTCCTCTCACAGATAGCAATCTATGGTAGCCTCATTGAAAGTGACTGAAAAACAGACAAATCCCTTATAAAGATATCCTTGTCTACCTGCTGAGTCACTGAGGAAATCTAAACCAGCACAGGATGCTACCAGCTCAACACTACATTTGCATTTTCAGCTCACTTAGGTGCTCTGGAATGACTTCTTGGATGAGGGTCAAACTATGAGAGTCTCAATAGGTTCAGGCACCTGTGTGGGTAGATGACCATTATTATATAGGAATGGAATGGAAGCATCCAACATGATGGATAGCTGCAGAACAGAGGCTTGAAGAACGCCAGGTTCTTCTGTCTTGAAGCCATTATCTCCTTTAAAATGCAAAAAGCCACAGTTTCTCTTAATGTGAACTTCCACTGAGCAGAGAGTACCACCTGCTGCTTTCATTCTTGGCAATCTAAGGCATGTTAAGTCAATATTATCAAACAAAGGCTGCCAAAATATAGCCCTGTTCTTCAACCTGAAGAATTTAAAGCTTAAACTAGATTAGGTAAAAAAAAAAAAAAAGAAAAAGAAATACAAGAAAATGGGCAAGACAGATAAGATATGCAACACTTCCTGGTAAAAACATGAGAAGTAAGATTACTAGAGATGTTATTTAGAGAGATTTGTAGGAAAAAGAGACCTTGCAAAGTATTAGGGAAATGAACTGAAAACACTTCTTGCTGCTGGGGAAAAGATTGGACTTTGTTGAAAAACACAGAACTGAAAACAAAGAACCTTTTGTTTTCAAGCTGTGTCAAAAGCACTTTCAGTAATTTTGACAAGGTTTAAGGGAAAGTTTTTGGCAAATCCCACACTCAGCCTTACACAGAGGGAGAAGAGGGCAGGATGCTGCAAAAGAGAATGGAGGCACAGGTACAAAGACATTGATGGGAGACAACTGTGATGGAGAATGGAGGGAAAACACCAGAAGTTAGTTATGAGGTCAGTGGTGTGTATGATAACATAATAATAACATGATAAATAATAACATGATAACAAAAAGCAGAAATGGAATGGTCAATGTTTCATTCCTCACGACATGGAGGCACAAAGGTCTCAAAGTCATTTTTGGAGGAAGCTGACCCCATTTCTCTCTGTCCCTGACAACTCTTCACTAAAGCACCATAAATTAATAACCTATCTGAAATGTAGTAATACTCCCATGTTTGAGGCACAGCAGTGAGAGGGTGGGCAGGCAGCTGCTCTAAAAAACACTTTGAAAAGACCAAGAGTTAAGAGTTAATTAAAAAAAGAAATGACAACGTAAGATAGTTTGTTTCTAGGGATAGGGGCTGGGAGCGAGATAAATCAGTGCTGCCAAAAGAAAATCTGTACACTTTTAGGTCATAAAAAGAAATATGCTGCACATGAGGAATTTGTTCTTAGCTCTGCTTCGTGAACTGGCAGGCAACAGCCTTAAAAACAGTCACTGTCGTTTTTATAGAACAAATTTTAACAAGACGTTCTGTCCTTGAACAGCAGCTATTTGCCATGTCCCTGGGCACCTGATCCTCATAGCCAAAGCAAAGCGTGTGAGACTGGAAAGCAAGCAAAGGAACAGCCTCCATGCAAAGCGCCAGATGCAAACAGGAGCTGCTGAAATGGACTTTCATCTTGTCAAACATAACGTAAATCTCTGCTTCTGAAGCAGCTCCCTGAAAACCAGCTGCTCCTGGGCTCTGCAGCAAGGTGGATTATTGAACAGATCTGTGGGACCTAGGCTGCTGCTGGCATTTGATGCATTTGCCAACTCATCTGCAATGTCCCTCTGCTGCTGCCTCCAAGCATGCTCCTGGTTTGGTAAACACGGACAACTCCAGGGTGAACTAGCATAAACTTCTCCACACCATTTTCTTAATGT